GGAACAATTACAAAAAGAGAGAAATAATGATAAAAAAAAAAGGCAAGGAATGAGAAGAAATATTTTTAAAAAATACTTTTAAAAGACAAGAAATATAAATAGAAAAAGAAAAAGAAAAAAAAACACCCAATAGCTAGGGAAAGACGGGAATAAGAGAAAAGAGCTAGAGTAAGAGAATAATGAGGAAAAAAAATGAGAAAAGTACAAAAAGAAAAACAAGGGATGGGAAGAACCACAAGAAAGAAAAAAATGGGAACCAGGAAGAGGGAAGATGTGGTAGTTATGTTTGTGTGTCAACTTGGCTGGGCCTCGTTGAGTGGCTGGTCATGTGGTGGTAGTTATTCCCCACGATGAGACTGGCAATCAACTCCATGGTGGGATCTACCACAAGCAGCTGAGTAGCTGCCTTAGGGAATGTGGTCTGCTTCCAGTATATAAGGAGAAGGCTTGGGAATGGTCTCTAGCTTATGGCATGCTTGGACCCTGCATGTAGCCTTGTAGTCTTTGTTGAGCAGCTTGCCATGCTCTGCCAACCTTGGGACTTATAATGGACTTGAATTAATGGCCTGCTGTGTGGTTTGGTAACATTGGGCTGTGCCCTTTTATTTGTCAACCTTGGGGCTTCTCAGCCTCAGCAGCCAGCAGCTGTCTGAGTGAAGAAATGCCTCTAGCTCCAGTGGGCCGGGAGCAGGAGGCAGAGCTGGACCCCAAGGTTGAGGGGCTTTCACGCAGCCCCTAGAGCCTGGCACTTTGAACTTGGATTTAAAGCCTCCAAATTGTAAGAATAAACTCCTGTTAGTTAAGGCCATCCCATTTGTGGTAATTTCTTATCAGAGCGGCACTAGGTAACCAGAACAGAAGAGAATAGGAAGTCCAAAACTAGAACCTGGGAAGGGAAAAAGAAAGAATAGAAAAGAAGAAGAAAAGAATTTAAAAACAAAGAAAAAAGAAATGTGTATGGGGGATGGGACAGGGCATCCAGGCTCCGTCAGAGCACACAGAAAGATGTCAGAGCACAGAGGGATGTAATTTCTGCTGGCCCAGAACATGGGTGGAAGTGAGGGATGGTCGCACCTCTGTTCATCAACGGGGTTTGGGGTATAAGAGCAATAAGGGGAATATTTTACCTTTGCAGTCATCAGCCTCAGGTATGTCTGTGCTGTCCTGGGAAAGCGGAGCCTGTTCTTAGGTCCCTGGAACCTTAATGAGAATGCTGTCACTTTAAATATCCAAAATGGCCACTGCTTGTAAATGTTTAAAATGGCTGCACCATCTGGACAGCCAAAAGTCCACAGTTCAGTTTGTCTCCTTCTTTCATGTTTCCCTTTTTAATTACCAGCCACCAGTGCAGTAGTCCATGCAGCCCTTGGTAAGCAGGGTCAATTTTTAGCTTAATTCTCAGGTCCCAACACCACTTGGAAATATTCAAACTGTCCATGCCGTAAGGATAGCTGACAGTCTACAGTTCTGTTTGTCTCCTTATTCACTGTTTTCATTCAGGTCCTTCTACCAGTTGGTGCTTAATCCACTTCTGTATTCTTCCTTTCAAAGCTCAGGGCTCCAGGATTACCTTCTATATCTGTGTCAATTGGTTTCTCTTTTCTTAGTTGAACAGTCTGTGTAGCTTGCATGCCTATTCCACCATCTTTCCAGAAGTGTGTTTGAAAATTTGGTGCAATTTTTTTTTTTTTAATTTTTATTGTGATTTGGGTGAAAGTTTTCAAAGCAAATTCACTTTCCATACAGCAACTCAGTCTCATGACATTGATTGCGGTTTCTCACAGCTCCCCTCCAACTTCCTCCCCATAGTTACCTCTTCCCTGTGCCCCTCCCATGCACTCCTGCATTCTGAGCTGTCTCCCTGTGCATACACAGCCCTTCTATTCTCCCATGATTAATCTCTCCTAGGAGTGTATCTACCTAATGTAAATGTTCAGCTCATATGCCTGTCTTTTGTTTGGCTGGAAGCCACAGGAGTGAGTTCAGTTCCAGACCTGAAGGGCAGCTAGGGACCATAATCTTGGCAGTTCCATCAGGCTCTATCAGACCAGCAAACCTGGTCCCTTTTTTGAAAAATTGGTGCAGTTTTAAGGATAAAGATTTTTGCTTTGTTAGGCCTGATTCCATGTTGTTAAGAATGAAACCCCTTATTTTTAGTTAAGATGCAATTTCCTTAAAACTTGGCTTCAACCTTATGTTATAATTAACTTGTTCTCAAGTTACAGTTATCACTTCCTGCTGCATCCTGTGATCTGAGACAGGGCCATCTATGTCAATAAAGGCTCTTGCGCTGGACTTTAGGATTGGCCAACTAGGCTTAAACACCAGGAAACATTCCTTTAGTATAATAATCTCTGATTGTCAGCACTATGCAGAGAGCACGTTTTTGGGGGTACTGAGACCCTGTCCATCTCTTCTTGGTTCATCTCCTAATTAAACTCTCTTCTCCTTTAACTCTGGTGTGGACTACTGGTTGTGCTGTTCCAGGGTCAGACTGCAGCATTTTTTTGGGTGACATAAGTATTAGGGGAAATGAGACCACAGATTCAAACAGGTTCAATATAGACATTTTTATTAAGCCTTGGACAGAACAAAGACAAAACAAAGACAATCATCCTGGATGAGGGAAACCATCAGCATGTACACAGTACAGAAAGCTAAATGGAGTCTGCTGAGTCATGGCCATGTGGCTAATTATGTATCATTTTTAAAAAAGGGGAATCATCACAAAATCATGACTGGTGATAGAATCATCACTGTTGTATGTGGGACTACAAAAGAAAGGAAAAGACCATAACTGGTATTTGAAGATAGGAAAGGGTTAGGATTGGTTCTGGCCCTTGACTACCTGGCTAGGTGGTGGTCTGATAGGCTATGACTCATGACCAAGCAGTCTGAGTCTTAGCCACAAGATGGCTACCAAACAATACCAAGACCCCAACCTTAATTTAAATTAGAAAAGGACACTTTCAGGCAAGTTCCCTAGTTCTTTCTGAGAGTATAATGCACTTTCAAGCACACTCTTCCTGAAGGCAAATTGCCCCTCCCTACGTTTGTCCTGGAATTTGTCTGTGCATAGCTACAATGCTGGTTTATGGTCAGAAAGAACCCCAATAGCATCTGAAAATTATGTCACACCTCAAAAGGTTAGGGCTCTGTGGTGCAGTGAATTACTTGGTATGGCTTTTCTAGCTATAGTCTTTCTAACTCCCACAGGATTACTGGGTGGGATCATGCAAATATAAAGTGTGTAGAACTCTAATTTTGGGATTGCCAGGCTTACAAAGAGCCCTCCTAGAGGCAGAGGGGATCTCATTGCCATCAAAAGAGAAGAGCTGGAAGTAAATTGGAGCGTGTCCTTAGACCTGAGATCCCTGCCCTGGACCTCCTTGGCAGAGAGAGACACTCACCAGAGAGAGCTGCTCCGCAGAGACAGTGGCAGTGGAACCAAGAGGCATGAGACAAGGAGGTGGGCTTACCTGGCCCAGAGCCAGAAAGCTGAATGCCTTTAGGCAGGAGGCTTGTTGAAGGAGTGCTATGTAGGTAGGTGTACCTATCAGCAGAGCTTTGAACCACTTGCCTGAGCAGAGTAGAGGCCAGGCCTACAGGCCAAGGGCCAGAGAGGAGTGTCTGAGGGCACAGCAGAGGGGAGACAGTCCTGATTGAAGAACTGTATTCTGAGAGCATTCCTGAACCTGAATTGTAGCCTGTTACTTTTGTAATAAACCCCAAAATCGTGAGTACTGTCTGTGAGCTCTTTGTGGCCATTGTAATGAATTATGGAACCCAGCAGAGAAATAGTGAGTGCCACAGGAGGGACAGATGCTATAAGAATTGGTAAAAAGGCTGGAGAGTGGTGGCACATCTGGCCTCACAAGAATAAGCCTTGGGCTGTTGATGATGACTCTGTTTCCCCCTTGTGAGGTTGGAGAAGATCAGAAGATGCTGCCCCTGTGTCCTTTTAGCATGTACCCACCACACACCACAGCCTTCCACAACCTCAAGTGCTTTAAAATTTAAGCTCTAACACACAGTTAGTTTGCCACTTTAACCATTACTTCTATACCTCAATACATTTAAACTTAATATCTCCTGAGTCAAAACTGGTGGTTCAAACCCACCACCAGCCACTCCTTGGATGGAAGGTTGGGCAATCTACTTCCATAGTGATACTGCCTCGGAAATCCAAGGAGGGGTCACTATGCATTGGATCCGACTCTACAGCAGTGAGTTTGGTTTTTTTGGTTAAGTCAGAACCAATTCAACAATAGGTTTAATGTACAAATATTTTCCCTTTCTCAACTTACAGCAACATATTTTCTTCCAAAGCCATCACTCTCTCTCTGTATATATATATATTAATTTTTATTGTGATGTGGGTGAAAGTTTACAGAGTAAATTCATTTCCCATATAGCAGTTCATACACATTTTGTTTCATGACATTGACTGCAATTCTCCACAATGTAACAGCTTTCTTCCCCTTCCTTCCTGCAGTTACCTCTTTTCTGTGTCCTTCCCTCCTACACCCTCCACCCACCCCCAGCTATCTCCCTGCAGCAAACAATGCCTTTCTGTTCTCCCACAATTAAGCACTCTAAGGAGTATCTAGGAGCTCTGGTAGCATAGTGCCTAAGGCACTTGACTGCTAACCAGAAGGCTGGCAGTTCAAACCCACCAGTCACTCCTCGGAAGGAAGGTTGGGCAATCCTACTTCTGCAGTGATACTGCCTCAGAAACCCAAGGAAACCCAAGGAGGGGTCGCTATGAGTCAGGGCCGACTCGACGGCACATAACAACAACAACAACAAGGAGTATCTACCCGATGTAAATGTTCATTCACCCCATTAGCCTGTCTATTATTTGCAAAGCCATCACATTTATTTTTAAATGCATTGTAGAAATCAGATGACTTAAAGGATGTAAAGAATTTAAATGATCAAAAATAAGTTAATTCTGATGTGTGTACTCAGAAACAGATACAAAGATTTAAGTATGTGACTTAAAAGTCAATACAGCGTCCTTTTCGTTCCCAATCTCCGTATCGGGTAGGTTCTGGGCCCCTGGGTCCACCTTTTTCTTTGGTAACAGGATTAACATCATCTGGAAATTCTAAAGCAAGACATAAGATATAAATAAAGTAGTTAAGAGACATGTTCAATTTTGAAGATAGGGTTGCAGAGTTGCACAGTTTATTGACTAGATACCTACTGACTAGGTTATGGTACAGATTTTTTTTGTTTTTTTTAGATCTTGGAAAGATTTAATGGCTTTTCTTATTCCAACTACCACTGAGTCCAAGAAAGAGTAAGATAAGCAACCACTTAAGCAGCCATTACACTGGTCATTTTTGATCCACTGAGACATCAAAACAAGGACAGCACCTTGTAGTCATCTTGAAAGGTCTCTGAAGTGATGAACTGAGATTTTGATGAATCATTGAAATCATCTGCTATAAGATGTGGGTCATAAGCCACTTCCACTTCAATAGTTCTGAAGGCTACAAGTCCAAATTCAGGCTGTCAGCAGGGTTATATTCTCTCCGAAGGCCTTCAGCTGCAGCATGAATCCATTGTCACATAGTCCTCTTCCCTTTGTCTCTCTCTACTTTGAACTCAGGACCAGTATAAAAGAGATGCATAGGGTGAGGACTAGGAGGGTTCTTAATGTGGAGCTTCCATGTCCCAAAAGGAATGCATCACTCACATCCTGAATATCAATGTCTTTCATCAACCAGGAAGCCCTTGTAGGTTTTATTGTGAATAATGCTTCAATGTACATAGGTGTGGATGTAACTGTTTGTGTCAGTAATTTTAGTTCTCTAGGATATAGATAGGAGCTCTGGTGGTGCAGTGGTGAAGGCATGTGGCTACTAACCAAAAGATTGCTGGTTCAAGCCCATCAGCTGCTCCGTGGAAGAAAGATGAAGCAGTCTGCTTCTGTGAAGATTTACAGCCTTGGAAACCCAATGGAGGTCACTATGAGTTGGAATCTACTTGATAGCAGTGAGTTTGGTTAGGTTTGAGAGTATAGACAGGAGAACTCTGGCAGCACTGGGGTTAAAGCATTGAGCTGCTAACCAAAAGGTTGGCAGTTTGAACTCACCAGCCGCCACACAGGAGAAAGATGAAGCAGTCTACTTTGGTAAAGATTCACAGCCTTGGAAAAGCCCTAAGGAATAGTTCTACTCTGTTTTATAGTGTCTCTATGAGTCAGAATTGACTTGATGGTAGCAGGTCTGGTTTTTTAGAGTATAGAGGGTGTAGGACCTGGCAGTGTTTCGTTCTGTTTTATGCATGGTTGCTATGTGTCAGAACTGACATCATGGCACCTAACAACAACGGGGTATATACCTTGGACTGGGATTACTGGATCATAGGGTATTACTATTTCTAGCTTTTTGAGGCTGTGCTATGCCATTTTCCATAATGGCTGAAGAGTCTGCAGTTTTTAAATGAATTGTTAGTGCAATTCTTGTTTTTAAAAATCACTTTAGGATATAATTTTCATATTCAATCAACTTTATTACCTACATTAACACTCAAAAATCAAATTCACTGCCATCAAGGCAGTAAATCTTCATGGATGTAGACTGCCCAGTGTTCCTTTTGCAGAGCAACTAGTGGGTCTGAACCACTGGCCTTCTGGTTAGCAGTCAAGCTCTGCCAAAGAGGCAAGGAGGCCACATCTTCTGACCTCTTCTAACCCCACAAGAAGATAGAATCACCAGCAGTAGCCCAAGGCCTATCCCTGTGAGGCCAGACATGCCACCTCCCTCTAGCTCTTTCACCAACCCTGACACCAACTGTTCGACCCATAGCACCCACCATCTCTCTGCTGGGTTCGATAATTCGCTGCAGTGGCCACACAGAACTCACAGATAGATTATGGGGTTTATTAGGGAAGCAACAGGCTACAATTCAAGTTCAGGAACACGCTCAGTCTCTCAGCTCACTGTCTCTCAGCCGACAGTCTCTCTTAGTCTCTCTCCCAGCAGCGCATGTCTCTCATTCTCTCTCCCAGCAATGTGTGTCTCTTGCATCTCCGAGCTGGCAGTGAGGGATTCCTTCTGTCTCCAGTAGGACTACTTTTTGAGCCTGGCAGAGTGGCCAAACTAACCAATGCCAACATCAGAATGCTGTACACCTGAGAGAGATAACTTCCCAGAAGACTGCTTCCTGCCACTCTCAACAGAAATACCCCAGGTGGATAACTTTAACGATCAGGAGCTACTCAGTTGCTCATGGCAAATTCTACCACCGAGTTTATAAAGACTTATGGCTAGAAAGCCACACTATGTAATTTACTACACTGCAAGCTCCTTATCCACAACACCATCAGAGCTCTATAAAACACCATAAAAAACCCAAACTCACTGCTGTCGAGTCAATCCCAACTCATAGTGACCTCTCCTTGGGTTTCTGAGGCAGTATCTCTATGGAAACAGATTGCCCAATCTTCCTTCTGAGGGGTACCTGGTGGGTTTGAATTACCAGCCTTCTGGTTAGCAGTCAAATGCCTTAGGCTCTACACCACCAGAGCTCCCATTTCAAACCAAAGCTCACTGCCATCAAGAAGGATGGGACACAGAGACCCCTTCTTGGGTTTCCAAGGCGGTATAACTACAGAAGTAGATTGCCCAACCTTCCTTCCGAGGAGTGGCTGGTGGTTTGAATGACCAGCCTTCTGGTTAGCAGTCAAATGCCTTAGGCACTATGCCACCAGAGTTCCCATTGTTGTTGTTGTTGTTATGTGCCGTCGAGTCGGCCCCGACTCATAGCGACCCCTCCTTGGGTTTCCGAGGCAGTATCACTACGGAAGTAGGATTGCCCATTAGTGAGTTAAAATTCTTGGAGTACTCTCACAGCCCCTGATCTGGGAAGCAGCTATGTATGTGCTTCTGAATTAAAACAGAATATACAGAGAATGCTGAATGCAAATCCATAGTATTTGTATGCTTTTAAAACAAGATTACTTTGAAGGAGTCACTTTGGCTTAATGCCTTAGTTTGCTGCTCTGTAAAATGGAAACACACAGATCCCTGACAGAGCTGTCTTGAGGGCTCAACATGGCAATGTCTATAAAGAGTGTTGGGTATATAAGAAATCTTTAATTTTAGCTGAGTATTGTTGTTTCTCATTACAGGGTTTTGGCAGCAACTGCTTAGCTAGTATTGTCATTTATGAATATAATAATACCCATTTTTACTATTAACACTATATGTTCACAATAGGAGTACCCATCCTGAGTCAGGCTCAATTATGAGCACTTTATATAAATGAATTAATTTAATCCTTGTAACAATCCTATGGGACAGAAATAATTATTGTCTCCATTTTAAAGATGGGAAAATCAGGCATAGTGAGGTTAAGAAAGTTGCTCAAGGTCACACAGCTACTAAGTGGTGAAACTGAGTTTGAACTCAGCCATTCTAGCTGTAGTCTTGCTTTAGTTCGTGTACTGCATTGCTCTGCATATGAAAAAAACAGGAGTGGAATCAGCCATCACAGAGAATTCCAATTCTTAAACTGTTTCTTTACAAAACTAAAAGATCATCACCAAAATCACATAGCCCTTCTTTAGGCTAAAGAAAGAATACACAGAATTTGTTTAAAAAAAATTCAAATATATATTCATTCTCTCATTCTTACTTTACTGCAAACTCTTTCTTACCTACATCATCATTTTGTTTTCTGAAGAACACCTTGCTTCATCTGAAAGTTGACACTTCCCTACTCTACCATTCTTCTGAAAGCCTCACTAATGGAAGCCCTTCTTCATTCTTCCACTTCAATGAGGTTCATTAGGCAAGACAAGGTCATAAGATAGGTCTCTGTTCCTCACTGCTACTTGCAGCCTCTCGTTCTACAAGCAAGCCTCTACAACTTTTCCTCTTTTGAATCTCATACCATTCACTTTTCTCCAGTCTTGTTATTATCTGCAATCTTCTGAAACTTTTTATTCTTACCACCACCACCCTGGTTCATGCTCTCAGAGTCCCAATTGAGACTAAAGCAATGTTTTCTAACTTATCTGTTTTCTGATTCTCATGACTCCAGACTAACTTGCACAGGAACCTGAATAAATTTTTCTAAAACAGATTCCCTGCTCCATATTTTACAAAGTGAAAGAAGCCAGACACAAAAGACTACATACTTTATGACTCCATTTATATAAAATCCTAGAAAACGTAAAACTATAGTGATAGAACGCAGATCAAAATGGCTGCAAAGGAGTGGGATTGACTGAAAAAGAGACACAAAGGTAAACTGTTTGGAATGCTGGAAATGTTCTATATATTACTGTACACGATTATACACTATAAATATTTGTTAAAATTCATCCAACTGTATACTTACAATGGGAGAATTTTATTGCATGTAGATTATACTTCGATAAAACTGATTTTAAAAACCCTACGGATAAAAAAAACACCTAGTGCTTTCCTCATTGCCCACTGCATAGTGTGTGCATATGCTGCAACCTGGTATTTCAGGCCCTCTTAGAAGCAAACCTACCTTTCTGGTCTCCTGTTCTATTAACCTACTATATAAACTTCCTGCTGTAGCCAGAGAGCCTCCCAGTTATGGGTATCACACATCACGTTTCCCAGCATCTTCTTCTTTGGCCATATCTTTCCTTCTCTCTTTTTGGGAAACATTTTATTGTAGTAAAATTCATGAAATAAAAGTTTTGCATTTTAACCTTTTTTTTTTTTTCTCCAAATCACAGATCCAACAAAGGCTTTTAGCCACAATAAATAAAGAACTCTCTAAGCTCCATAGTAAGAAAACATATAACCCATTGACTTGGCTACAACTCCAGCAACCCTATGTACAACAGAACAAAACACTCCCTGGTCCTGTGCCATTTTCACAATTGCTGCTATGGTTGAGTCCATCGTTGTAGCCACTGTGTCAATTCACCCTGCTGAGGGTCTTCCCCTTATTTGCTGACCCTGTACTTTTCCAAGCATATCCTTCTCCAAGGTATACTCCCTTCTGACAACATGACTCAAGTACTTCAGATGAGGTCTGGCCATTCTTGCTTCTAAAGAGCATTCCAACTGTACTTCTTCCAAGATAGACTGATTTCCTCTTCTGGAAGTCCAT